TTTCGTAATAAGAGGTACAAAGTTTTTGCTTCACATACGAGTATAATGTATAGATAATATCTCAGGGCAGTTCATACAGCGCCATGTAAGCGAAGCATCCCAAGCTAAGTAATTTTTTTTTTTGTAAATACCTACATAATATACATAGAAAACATTCCCTAAATAACCTGCCCAGAGTAATATCAGAAATGGAACATAACTGCTCTTATTGAAAGTATGGAACAAATGCCATCCGCCATCCGCTCTCGTGCTCTCGTCTTGGTTTTTACATAGGATCTGCGTTGGGATAAAGCCTATGTACTGCAAAAGCAATCATCGGACTCCGGTCAATAGATACACTTTTCAATGCAGGCGTATCGGAATCAAATAGCAAAAATATCAAATTATATTTAATACCATACATTCAAACTTTATGGCAAATAGAGAGAGAATAAAAAATGCAGATTTTTTATTCACTATATATTGTATTGAACTTACGTACCTACATGTTTGTGAATCTGTTTAGTATGGTATAAACATCAATGGTTCAAGACTTTGATTAGAGGTTTTATTTGTTGGATATTTATACAAAATCGTATCGTAAGTTACAATAGGTTTAAAAAATAGTAGTGAAATAGTTGAAATGTGAATATACTCAGTTGCACTAACGAGCAGCACACAGCGCCATCTGCGATTCTAGCGAAGCAGAGCTTTTGTTATGGGTCCTATACAACTGATATAAATACATGAATACATATTTTTGTAAATACATTTGGTTGGTCTATACCGAAACGTAGCTAAAGTTGTGTATGTACCTGCCGACCGGCCAACTTTAAGTATGATTGAAACCAGTTGCCACAATACAAGCATAGAGAGACATCGTCGTTTTATTTTAAATTAAATATTAAATTACACTGTCCCAAATCAAGTTAAAAGCAGCCTTAACACAATCAACCACATTTATAATATACATAGATATCACCCAGACCGATCAAACAAACATACTCAATAATACAAATGTTTGTACCGTGTGAGGAATTGAATTAGACCGTCGGAAATAAAGCGGTGTACTAAACCAACAGACCACCAAGGTCGTCAAATAGAAATATAAATAATCTTTATTCAAATAAACTCAGTACAAGCACTTTTAAATATTAAAGTTTTTAATCTGCCACTCATTCGGAACGCAGATTCATCACAAGAAGAATAAGCAAGAAACTTGTGTGTTGCTCTTGTGAATAAATGTTTATTTTATAAATAAATAATATAATAAATACTTGTTATAAGTGGTATGATATAGTGGTATAATCAACGTAGAAACTGCTACGCACTCATTCTTAGTGCAATAAAAGTAATTTGTTTATTGTGCAAAAAACAGTTACAAAATGGTCTTAACTAAGTTTCTATATCAATTTTCATATATAATGCAATAGTTCTTAAAAACTATTTAATACCAAGCCCAGGGCAGTAGTGTCTAAACTAGTCCAAGTCTGTATCTCAGACACCACTGCAATCGGATAAATGACTTTCGAAGTACATATAGATTTTGTGTCTAGAAGTCTATGCATTCTTAGTGCAATCAGATAAATGATTTTCGAAGTATAGATTTTATGTGTGAAAGGATGCATGAAGTCTACCCATTCTTAGTGCAATCAGATGAATCATTTTCGAAGTATAGATTTTGTGTGTGAAAGGAGGCATGTAGTTTACCCATTCTTAGTGCAATCAGATAAATCATTTTCGAAGTATATATTTTGTGTGTGAAAGGAGGCATGTAGTCTACCCATTCTTAGTGCAATCAGATAAATCATTTTCGAAGTATAGATTTTGTGTGTGAAAGGAGGCATGTAGTCTACCCATTCTTAGTGCAATCAGATAAATCATTTTCGAAGTATAGATTTTGTGAGTGAAGGGATGCATGAAGTCTACTATTCTTACTGCAATCATATAAATTATTTTAGAAGTATAGATATTGTGTTTATGAATGGATGCATGAAGTCTATCCATTCTTAGTACAATCAGATATATGAGTTTCGAAGTATGTAGGTAGTGAATGGATACATGAAGTCTGCCCATCTAATATAGTTACTTAACCCACACAGAGAGTTACAGAGAGGTATTTCTATCGATCGGCTTTCAAGGTTCGCCCCAAGGCCATTCTACCTACCATATTGGCTAAACACTAGATTGATACACTCTTGTTAATATTTATGAAGCAGGGCTGTCGATGTGAGAATGCCATGACGATCTGTCAATTATAACATGAGTTGCGTGTCTGTAATGAATTTATTTGAGTATCGTTATCACACAGGGCCGGGTTAATCATTGCAAGGCCCAAAAGCTAGCGTACTCAGGGCACTTTATTTTTAACAAAAAAGTATTTTAAAAAGGTTGATATGATAAAATACTGAAATAAATAAAAATTCTAAAATAAAAGTAGCTTAAGTTACACTTTATATACATTTGTCTCTCAAATAGAATACATTATTAGATCTAATTATTAGAAAGTTCCGCCAAAATCGGCGCAGCCGTTTCAGAGATTCGCTAGACTAAACAGACATACAGATAAATTTTTCATTCAATTGATGTAAGTTTTGAATATACTTTCTTATGAATATAGTGAAAAACTGTTTATTACATTAAAAGAATTACGAACAAATGCTTCAAGTTTATTGGTTTTGGTTTTATTGGTTTATAGATAAATGTTATAGAAAGCTTCTGCACTTTTCTAGAGCTGTTAATTTGAAATTACAAACAGACACTTTACTTTTATTTATCATCATTATCATCATTACATAGTATAAAACAAAGTCGCTATCGCTGTCTGTCCGTCCCTATGTATGCTTATATCTTTAAAACTACGTAACGGATTTTGAAGCAGTTTTTTTAATAGATAGAGTGATTCAAGATGAAGGTTTATATATATAACACATGTACACACGGGCGAAGCCGGAGCGAGTAGCTAGTGTATAGATAAAAGGAAAAAGCTTCTGTGCTTTTTTAGGGTAGCACGCCTGAAAGGCTTAAGCAATCATCATTAGAGTTGGCATGGTGTATACGTAACAGTTGGGGTAGAGAACATAGCCTACTTTTTGTCCCCATCAATCATGGTCACGCGAACGAAGTCGGGAGCTGAAACTAGTCATTTATTATAATAAATTGGTATCTCTAATACACGTTGCACATGCATATTGTATGTTTGTATGTACGAGTATAAGCAGATTGTTATTGTATATGTTAGTAAAGCATTTTAATAATAATTTCTGTCAGTCTGTCCCGCTTTCCTGCCAAAATTACTGAACCGATTGAAATGAAATTTGGTACACAGATAGTCTAGAACCTGAGAAAGGACATAGGCTTTTTTCATGCGAAAAAAGGGTTGTAATGGGTTGAAAGGTTCATATGAAAGTTTGTATGGAAGTTTCGTGACAAAACTTATTTTTTAGGCTCTTGATTGAATGTGAATAAAGAAAAGGGTTGAAAGGGGTGATTTTCATCTCCTCTTTCAATGTTTTTGATTGCATGGAATATATTTAAAGATAGAAAGCTATTTTACTCCCTATTTTATTTTAGTTAAGGGGGTAAAATAGGATGGGATATTATTAGTCATAGCTATTTTTTAAACTAGAATGATGATTATTTTATATTTGGGTTTATGGGTTAGATTATTGAGTATTTTTTTTACTTCGCGGACGAAGTCGAAGCACAGCTTAAATAAAAATGAAAAATAGTATATATTTCGTATAGTTTAGTTTAGTTATCTACTGTATCGGACTCGTCTGTTTACATATTATCAAACATTGCAATACGCGCGCGCATGACTTACTACATTGTTGTACGATCTGTCGCGTGCTCATATTATAATTACTAGAAACCACTTGAGGCTAGAAGGTCACATATTAAATTGGTTCTTTTACAAGTATACAAATATTGTTTTTTAATTTATTTACTTAATATAGAAAACATAACTAATTTACTGAAGAAACGATGATATTCACAGAAGTATAAAAAACTGTGTTGCGAATATCGTCGCCCTCCACCTAGTTTATACGAGTATAATTCCAAAAAATAAAAAAAGTATATGCAATGTCGATACCCATCACGTATTGTCTAATAAAATTTACAAAATAAAACTGGAGTATCTCTTTGTAATTTCAAATTAACAGCTTTTCACTATTTATTGGTATATGTGCGACCACAAATATTTGTGTACACACACTGTGACACATCAGGCACTAAACGGCCCGAACACAGCTTGGAAGCTTAGTGTTGATTGTTTAACGACCATACCCTCATGTTATATTATGTATGTATGTACAAAAAGGTGTTTAAACACATTTTATGTTTCAATTGTTGATTAGAATAGAAAATAATTTATTCAAACTCATTTTAAGTACTTTTGAATAGTCTCTTATTCTCCTATTAATTTACCGGTCATTCGGAAAGCTGTCCCATCACAAGAAGATCGAGCAAGAAACTTGCGTGTTGCTCTTTTAAATAACTTTCCATTTCCAAGTCGAAACGTAAACGCCAATTTATTAGGGTCAAATATAAATACACAATAGGATTAAGTCAGTCGTAGTGATTAGAGCAGACCAGTCCCTACAAGCAGCACTCGTTCACGAGTATGAAGTAGGAGCCAGCAATCACTGCGCGCGACCACATTTTAGGGAGCCCAATGACCAGGCCCAACACGCCGCCACGTGTTTATGTCATACACGTGCATTTTTTATTAAATGTTCAGTACTTATAAGACAAAGCATAGCTTACTTTGGGACTAGATGTCGCTGTGCGAATTGTCCAGGGTTGAATGAAATGAAATGAAATGAAAAACACTTTATTGTTCCTCTCACAGAAAGAGTAATTACATAAATTAATATGTACATTAAATATGAAAATAATAACAAAATAATTATAATATAGAGGTAACAATGGGCGGCCTTATCGCTAAATAGCGATTTCTTCCAGGCAACCTTAGGACCAGGGTTGTTTATTATTAAATTGCATTTGTTTTATTTCAGATCGACGGTAGCTTGTTTTTAGCCAACTTGGATGTGGAGGATGCCGGGCTGTACGAGTGTGGAATAGAGAATGAGACGTCATTAGTCGACAGATTCAATCTTACAGTGCGCAGTGAGTTTGTTTTACGTAGTCTTTTAACTTAGGAACATCTCGTCCCTTACATATGATCCTGCAATGTTTTACAATGCAGCAATGGTGAGTGCCTAGATCACTTGGAGATTAATAATTTGGAGTAATTATTAATCTCCCTGACGATTTATCTACACATGCCGTCAAAGAAGTGATCTAGGTCTCTTCTATAGTCAAATACTTGCTTTACGGATTAATATAATATATACATTGTTTTTATAACAACACGGAAACAAATCTCGATTCGCTGATTTGACCATTTTTGACATTATTTGACATTGACCCTTTGTTATAAGTCGTGTAATAAAATATTTGATTAATTTAATTTATTTTTATGCATAATTATAAACAAATATTAGCATTCTGCACTCGTCTATACATTATTAATATTATAAACGCGAAAGTTTGTATGGATGTTTGTTACTCATTCACGCAAAAACTACTGAACGGATTTTGATGAAACTTTACAGTAACATAGCTTATATATCAGAATAACATATAGGTTATAAATTTGACGCGGGTGAAACCGCGGGCATAGATAGTAAACTATAAGTGTGGATTTTGAGGAAACTTTACATTAATATATCTTATACATCAGAATAACATATAGGCGCGGGTGAAACCGCGGGCATAGATAGTAAACTATAAGTGTGGATTTTGAAGAAACTTTACATTAATATAGCTTATACATCAGAATAACATATAGGCTATTTGACGCGGGTGAAACCGCGGGCATAGCTAGTAAACTATAAGTGTGGATTTTGATGAAACTTTACATTAATATAGCTTATACATCAGAATAACATATAGGCTATTTCACGCGGGTGAAACCGCGGGCATAGATAGTAAACTATAAGTGTGGATTTTGATGAAACTTTACATTAATATAGCTTATACATCAGAATAACATATAGGCTATTTCACGCGGGTGAAACCGCGGGCATACCTAGTAAACTTAAGTGTGGATACATACCCCTATGCTGTATACGTACATAAATATATTGTATAGGCAGCGCGCATCAGAATAACATATGCGCGCGCAATTTAAATATGTCACTTTTCTTGTCTCATATAAAATTAAATTAGATAAACGTTTGCTTTGTTATTTTATTTAAATATATATAAATATAATTCAAGCCCATACCCCTCCATCCGAGCAATTATCGTAGAGGGGTTCGCAGTTTTTACATATATTAATTTTATTATCTTATTTCCACTCATGTGCCTCCTACTTTATTTTTAGTATACTCTTACCTACGGTTGTCTGTAAGAGATTGCGTTAGCGATAAGACCGCCTTCTCTTCCTTCTTCTTTCTTTTATATATTGTTACATATATATTTTTTTATGTATCTGCTTTTAATATTGGTGCAATAAAGAATTATAAATAAATATATATATATAGATTACAATTTACCACCAATTTTTGTATGGGTTGCGGGACGGTTGATTGGTATTAGAAATTTCTCAAACATAGCAACGCCTGAGGATATTTTTTTTATTGAATGATGCATCCGCCTGCTCTAACAGTATACACTAGGGCACCATTGGAGGACATCATGTAATTTATTTACTTAATTATAATAATGTTTTATTTGTACATACCACAACATTAAAAAGGAGAAGAAACTGTTGAAGTTAGTTAGATATACAATTTTTTTTAATAAATAATTTATTAAATATATGTTAAACAAATATGAGTGCACCTTACGGACTATGTTTTTGATTATGTATACTCGTTATTTAGTCCGTTTTATATACGTTACGGTCATGCGTGAGCTCATGTTCACGGAGCTGGAAATGTCGGCTGCCTTTCAACCCTGGCACTGTTTTGTCACATACTCATTCAACCCTACCGCATTATTTTGGTAGGTAAGTATTAAAATATTTAAAATTGCTAATTGCCTATAGAACCATAGCTGTTTAAAATCTTATTTAGGACCTACAGGCCTCTTATACAAGTTATATTTTTTATTACTCTACTTACCATCCAATTCGGATATTACAGTGGAAAAGAACTGGCATAAATGTGAACTGGTATTTTTTTGTTTTTGTTTTGGTATTACAGGCAACGTACCATAAGTACTATTATAATAACTAATTAACACACAAAAAATACTTGGGAATACACATAAAGGATCCTAATAATAGGACGCCTGTGTAGGATCTATTAGGATCCTTTATGTGTATTCCCAAGTATTTTTTATGTGTTAATTACTTATTATAATACTACTTATGGTATGTGCTAATAATAGGACATAGGCGTCCTATTATTAGGATACTTTATGTGGATCCTAATAATAGGAGTATTTCTTTTTCCCAAGAATTTTTGGGTGTTAATTACTTATTATAATACTACTTATGGTACGTTACCTGTAATACCTACATAATAAAAGGAACACCACAAAGAAAACGACAGATTTTACTTTAAATAACAAAAAAAATAAAAGTTAATCAGTTTAAACTTCAAATATTACATAGCGTTCAAGTAGTGTATATGACTACAAATAAATATAATTGAAGTGTTTGTTTGTAATTTCAAGTTAACAGCTTTTCACTAAATGCATACGGAAATATGTACGGTACTTACATAAATAAATTATAAAAATTACTGTCTGTCTATCTATTCGTGGTGTAATCTGTGATGGGACTGTCACTCGCAGATTGTTAATGTTATAAGAAGTAACTTGGCTATTTATTATGTTAGAAATTTATTTATTTTAATTCCACGCGGACTAAGTCGCAGGTAAAGCTATTTGACTAGATAGCTAATATTTTTTTATTTGTTATGTTTTATTGCTCTGGTTACAAGGCATTTTTAGTCCAACTTAAAAAGGACACTAAACTTTAAGTTTTACAATACAAATTCCAAAAAATGCTCAGTAGTGATGCCAGAATGCGAGTTTTACTCGCCAAATTTCTGGGACTTTGTGTGGCGAAAGATATAGAAATAATGGGGGAGGAAATATGAATAAAAAAGAAATTAAGGCCTGTTCAGGATATTGTGGATCATATAGAACTAAAAAAAACAAAATACAGCGCTCAGCTGTCACTGAATTCAGTTGTCTATTTTTTATTTGTATAGTTGCATATTTGTAATCAAATTGTGGTCACGTTGAATTTACAACCAACTGAAGATCAGTAAAGCGTTTTGCGAAGGTCGTACACAGTGTAATGACTGTTATTACAGATCGCCCACTCTACATCGAGCTCCTAATGTCCATTGAATGCCTTCACCATACAACGAATGGTTGTTGCGCGAGAGCTCAATACTTATTGGCTGCTCGTTTTATTGTAACCAGTCCCGTAATTAAAGTTGACAATGTATATTTGAAACGTGCATTGCTTTGATTATGATTGTGAAAATTACCTGGAACTTCTGCTCTTACGTCAGGACTGTACAAATTAAATTAATTATATATATATTATATATTATTTACTAGTCAGCCGTGTAATTTATAGCCTATATCATATTGTATAGTTTTATCAAAATCCATTCAGTAGTTTTTGCGTGAAAGAGTAACAGATATCCACTCATACTCACAAACTTTCACACTTTATAAAATTAATATAATTTAATGATCAAAGCACAACTACATCAAGGAAATTAATTACAAAATGGGAGTCGTATCGTATCAACGCTTAAAGAGCATGATGGAAGATCGTGGAAAATGGCAAGAGCTCCACCGACAAGAGCATGGCTCTTAACTTATGAATGAATTTATTTATTGATTCTTTATTGTACTATCATTACATAGTATAAAATAAAGTCGCTGTTGCGGTCTGTCCGTCCCTATGTATGCTTAAACCTTTAAAACTACGCAACGGATTTTGAAGCGGTTTTATTTAATATATAGAGTGATTAAAGAGGAAGGTTTATATGTATAATACATGTACACCCGAGCGAAGCCGGGGCGAGTAGATAGTTACATAGTATAAAACAGAGTTGCTGTCGCTGTCTGTCCGTCCCTATGTATGCTTAAATCTTTAAAAGTATGCAACGGATTTTGAAGCGGTTTTATTTAATAGATAGAGTGATTCAAGAGGAAGGTTTATATGTATAATATATGTACACCCGCTTTAAAAGTTACATAGTATCAGAGGTTTATATGTAGCCAGGAGTGAGTAGATAGTTACATAATAAAACTGTCGCTGTATGTCCTTATGTATGCTTAAACCTTTAAAACTACGCAACGGATTTTGATGCTGTTGTGTTTAATAGATAGAGTGATTCGAGAGGAAGGTTTGTATATATAAAACATGTATACCCGGCCGAAGCCGTGGCTCGTAGCTAATTACATAGTATAAAACTGAGTTGCTGTCGCTGTCTGTCCGTCCCTATGTATGCTTAAACCTTTAAAACTACGCAACGGATTTTGAAGCGGTTTTATTTAATAGATAGAGTGATTCAAGAGGAAGGTTTATATGTACAATACATGAATGTACACCCGGGCGAAGCCGGGGTGGGTAGCTAGTTTATATTTTTCAGTTATTCACAGTTATTATACCGGCGTCAATAAAAGTAGGTACGGCTTACATTCAGCTTTATTAGATATACATTTATGTCCATAGTCCCCGATGGGATACTCAGAGGCATTGTCACGTTTGCCTTCCCAGTTAAACGAAATCTAGCTATATATATATATATGTATACCTACATATGTAAATTTAAATTTATACAAAGTTGTATGGATGTATGGTTGCTGTAGAGTACAAAAAAATGTTTTTAAGTCTATCAGTTGTCTAGTACCATATTCTTGTATTTTTATATTTATATATCGTTTATTGACTAATTAAAAAAAATTCTTACAATAATGATTTCTTCACAAATTCAATAAAATTACAATTACATCTAAACATATAAGTAAAAATGGAGTGTCTGTTTGTAATATTGAAAAACCTTTTTTTACTACATGTATATAAAAATATATACGGTACATACACCAAAATATCATTTTTTACCATTTTTGTCTATCTGTCTGTCTGTCTGGTTGTTCCGGCTAATCTCTGAAATAGCTGTACCGATTTTGACAGGACTTTTATTGGCAGGTAGCTGACGTAATAAGGAATATTTATTTATATTAATAAGGAGTAACTTATTTTAGAAAAATAAAGTTAAATTCCACGCGGACGAAGTCGCGTGTACAGTTAATATATAAAATTACATTAACATACAGAATATAATAATATGTTTACAAATTATAGTTAAGATATAATTACATTTTGGTTTATGTATTCTGTAACATAACACAAACACTACTTAGCTAGGGTCTAGATGGCGCTGTGTAAATTGTCTCATATTATTATTAGTAATTTTAATTCCAATAATGCTCTATATCCACAGCCGAACCACCACCTCTTGTGAACGTCACCGTCCACGCTTCTACCATCCTCGCGTTGATCCTGTGGAAAGTGGCAGGCGATGGAGGCCACCCCATCATCGACTTCACCGCGCAGTACCGCTCGGCAGCACCCAAAGATGGCGCTCTGGAACCATGGAAGCCCATAAGTCCCAACCATATAAGTCCAAATTCGGTAAGACTAAATTGTTAATATTATATACACGAAAGTTTGTGAGAGTGTATGAATGGAGGATCCATCCAGGATGGATGTTGTTGCTTTTTTATCCAAAAAGTACTGAACGGATTTTTTTCATTTATTGTGACTAAAACTAAAGTAACTAACTAAAACTAACTGTGTAAATTTGGTAACACTAAATTATGCTCATATTATAAACACGAAAGTTTGTGAGTGAGTATGGATTACTCTTTCACACTAAAACTACTTAACGGCTTTTTTTATTTATTGTGGCACACAAACAAGCAAATGTCCATAAGTTCCAACCACATAAGTCCAAATTTGGACGAAATAATCTTGGTAATATTATAAACGTGACAGTTTGTTAGTATGGATGAAATGATGGATGGATGGATGTTTGTTACTCTTTCCCGCTAAAGCTACTGAACGGATTAATTTCATTTATGGAACACACAAACAATCCATATCATCATCAAACAGCCCATAGTCTCAATCATATAAGTCCAACTTCGGTAAGACTATATCTTGCTAATATTATAAAGACGAAAGTTTGTTAGTATGGATGAATGGATAGATTTTTTTTTCACTTATTGTGACACACAAAAAGATTTTTTTTTCAGAAGTCTAAGTGACACACATACTTATGTGGTTGGGTCTAAGTCCCAACCACATAAGTCCAAATTCGGTAAGACTAAATCTTGCTAATATTATAAACACGAAAGTTTGTTAGTATGGATGGATTGATGTATGGCTACTCTTTCACGCTGAAACTACTGGACAGATTTTAATTTATTGTGACACACAAACAGTCCCGTAGCCCGTGAGTACCAATCACATAAGTTCAAATTCGGTAAGACTAAATCATGCTAATATTATAAACGTGTGGATGAATGAATGGATGTTTGTTACTCTGTCATGCTAAAGCTACTGAACGGATTTTTTTTTCATTTATTGTGACACACAAACAGTCAGAAGCCCATAGTCTCAACCACATAAATCCAAATTCGATCGGTTCTTAACTAATTTGGAATTATATGATTAGGACTTACCAACCATGTAAGTCCAAATTCGTTAAGATGAAATAATCTTGCTAACATTATAAACACGAAAGTTGAATGGATGTTTGTTACTCTTTCATGCTAAAGCTACTAAACGGATTTTTTTTCATTTATTGTGACACACAAACAGTTAGAAGCCCATAGTCCCTAAAGTTTTTTTTTTAAACAGATTGAACTTATACATACAGTATAATTAAATTAAACATTTAGATAAATATCTATTTTTTTATTGTGACCAAACAATACTTGGCAACGAATGACATAAGAACTTGACATATTTCAGCGCCAGATTGACGTGTACCACCTGGAACCGAACGCGTCATACTGGTTCAGGGTGTGGGCCAACAACATGCTGGGCCCCGGGCCACCGGTCGAGGTGCTGGCCACAACACTCTTCAGAGACCAGGAGGCAGGTCGGTGGTAGCTTAGATTTTTTAACCCAAACCTATAGCTGTATGATATCAATCCAAGTAAATTACTTTTTTTTTTTAACAATTAAACTGATATTCGTAATGAAATTGGTAACCGTTAGCTAATTTTTAAGTTTTAATTTCATTTTAATTAATTGATATTAAATTTTATATCTTAGTTTAGTATATACATATATTTTTAAAGGAACTGATATTCTTAATGACTTTGGTATCCGTTGGCTATTTATTAAGTTTTAATTTCAATTTATGTGTATAGTGTTGAATACCATAAAATGTTATTAAAGTAATACAAATATTTGTATTCATGATTATTTGTATTGATCTGGGTGTTTTCAACGTATATTTAGTATACATTTATAAAAAAAATGTATTTAAGTATCTATCAATTGTCTAGTACCTATATTACAAGATTTGCTTAGCTTGGGCCTAGGTGGCGCTGTGTGAGTGGTCCTAGGATATAATATTACACTGCAATACAACGCAAAGCAGTATCTTTATAAGTTGTGTTTCAGTTGGAGGATGGGTACAAATGAAACACAACTTACTTTTTGTATGCTATAATGTAAGCAATAAATATTCATTTCATTTCATTTCATTTCATTTCATTTCATTTCATTTCATTTCATTCATTTTATTTCATTTATGTAAGTTGGACTCACTCTCTAAACTGAACTCAGCTAACAAAAAATCCACGCAGACGACTTTACCCAAAGTCAACTGCCGGGAAATGTACTTAATCAAAAATTATGAGTGTGGTGTTGTGGGTGATGGTCACAGAGCTGTACAAGCACTTCCTGGAGGGCGCGGAGTCGTTCGACACGCGCACGTGGGTGGCGGCGGTGTGCGTGGTGCTGGGCACGCTGGCGCTGCTGGCCGCCGGCACGTGCGCCGTGCTGTGCCGCGAGTGGCGCCGCCCAGGTGAGCTCGCCTAGCACGCGCCCCCCGCGCCCCTGCCGCGCCTCTACTTCCTCTGGCAGTAGCGGCCGCGGGCGGCGCCGGCCGGCAACACTAGTCCACATAGTACTGCGTACCTCGTGCTTCACTTGTTTAGTTCGTGGATAGGACGTGGCAACCCCTGGAGCTAAAGAGAGCTGGCAGTAGTCGCCGCAACACTAGTTCACCGAGTATCTTATACTTCGTGCTTCACTTGTTTAGTTCATTGATAGGACGTGATAACTGTCAGGATCTCGCGTAATCTCTGTCTCCCCCGTGTCTATACTTCCTCTGGTAGTAGCGGCCGCGGGAGGCGCTGGCCGGCAACACTAGTTTAGCATATACTTCGTGCTTCACTTGTTAAGATCGTGAATAGGACGTGGCAGCGGCCAGGAGCTTTCTTAGTTCTCACCCCCCGCGTCTCTACTTCCTCAGGCAGTAGCGGCCGCGGGCGGCGCCGGCCGGCAACATTAGTCCATCTAGTACATAGTGCTTCACTTGTTAAGATAGTGAATAGGTCGTGCAGCAGCCAAGAGCTCGCTTAGCTCTCGCCCTAGTCTGCCTAGTACTTCCCACCTCGTGCTTCCCTTGATTACTTTATGGATAGAATGTGGCGGCGCCCCGGAGCCCGCCTAGTCCCCATCAACCTTTCATTAAAGCAGGACCTTAATGAAAGGTTAACAGAGTGCATTTTTAACAGACTCCAGTAGTTCCCACTAGTTACTTACTCTCCTTCCACTTTCCCTTAAGCTTCTTTTAGATCACAAATAAGACAATTATATGTTAAGCAAATTTAAACATTCTACAAATATAATTAAGTGCAAAATGCAATGTGACAAAGTACCACCGATCTGAATACAGTAGTGCAATATTAGGTCTTACCAATTTATTGGTGATATGATTTACTTTATAATAAAATTGTTATTTATTAAATATAAGATATGTATATATAAATATTATAATAATTAGATATAATTTCTAATTGTCTTTGCAATATTTTAAATGAAAATTTCACTGAAGGGTTGATTTATACAGGGTTAATAATAAAGAGCATATGTACTAAGCTGTATGTTCGTGATCGTTCATGAAACAACAGCTTTCCCATATAAGCAAAATGGAAAAAAAATTATAAATATTATGAAAAGTTCACACTTTATCCACTTTGTTTCTAAGAGTCATTATAAATTCCATAATTAGTCTACTTAGCTTTGAACTTAGTATAATACCCTTTACAAACCCTGAGTATGCGCTAAATAACTCATATTTATTAAAATATTACTTTAAAAGTATTAATACTGTTACCATATTGTTAGGTAAGTATGCAGGCCTAGGGAACAATGAAATAGAATACACATAATTTTGCCTTTAAAAATCGGGACAAATAAACTAGTTTATATTTGCATAATTATAATATATAAAGCATAAACTGACAAGAGAATGGAACATTCGAAATAAAACAATATCCCGAGACGCCTGGAAAGCGTGGTAATAATAGGATAATATCGTTGTTTTGTAAAAATATGATATCCAATAATGGAAAGTTAATAGGTTGTTCTTATCTTATCTAGTAGTAAATTGAGCTATAAGGTAATTGCGTTTAAGTAGAATTTCGCATAGACTAATAATTCTTGTTACCCATTTCGCGCTTCCAAGCACAGCACAATGTAGACTAAACTATTTTGATAATCGCCTTTATGCTGTTAATGCACCAATGATAGAGTTACCACTAATAAGTTTCACTAATAATGATGGATATTAATAAAGTGGATGTATTTCGGGGATACATTTATTAAATAAAGCAAGGGTCACACTGAAAGCAAAGAGAAGGTAGCAGAGTCTTCTTGAATAGCAAGATTTGTATTAATTACGTTATACGGACGGACCGACACCATTCCAACTACTTTGTGAGCCCTTTTATGGTTGTATTTAATTACATAAATAGATTAGTTTGTTATAATTAAGATAAAATAAATTTAAAATTATTATTGTAGGCATAATAATATTTTAGTGCCAAGGAATTTCATTGAATTCATAAATTAACATTAAATTATACTCCCATATGTCTATTATAAATAGAATTTTCTAGAAAATATGGTTAACCAAAAAAAAAACTGCAATTTGAATATATGTATTACTTCCTAACGCTACGCGATTGGTGCTATGTATATATATAAAATTAATACCAAAAATTTTATAGTCTGCTTCGAATGTTTCTTGCGCTGTAATTATTCCAAATAAAAAAAAAACTATTAGATATCTAAGAACAATATTTTAAATTAATATATTAAAAGTGCCTAAACTAAAAATATGCTTTTACAAAACTACAATTATTATAAAACATAAATAGACTGCGTTGACAACTAACTAAAGAAATAAATAACTGTATAATAAATTAATTATAACTATTACTCAGTTTTTCAACTGCAGGTAACCTAAATAATGTAACTATATATTTTATTGAGGCTTTCTATATACCCAAGCTAATCATAACTGGTGAGTTTTTGTCAATATTAAGAAAGTGAATACAAAGTGCTGAAATGGGACTGGTGGTGTGATACGCCTGGATGAAATCTGCAATAGAGGTTCCTTCACAAGTAGCTCCTACCATAGAAGAAGTAAGAGAAAGTCGCTTACGCTGGTATAGCCATATTCAAAGGCACGAGGACGACTACGTGGTTAAGAGAGTACTCAACATACCAAACTCGACCAGAAGTAGAAACAGAAAATAATCAATAACCCTGGATAATTAACACAGCGCCATCTAGTCGCACGGTAAGCACAGCTTGTGTTATGAGTACTAGACAACCAATATAAATACTTAGAAAATACCTAGACTGATACAAACAATCATACTCATGTATACAAATGTTTGCACCGTGCGAGGAATTAAACCCGCGACCTTTGCCGGTAGTAAAGCGGTGCTAAACCGCTAGACCACCGAGGCGGTCGTTATTAGAAGAACATTAAGAAATAGATGTACCAGGCCAATGAGTACCAGGGCTCAGACAACTCAGGACAGAGATCTCTAGCTCAAATGTACAGGGAGACACGAACCAGATAAATGGGGAATATGGTATGACAAAAAGAAGAAGCGAATGTTTACAAACCGAAATTTAACTAGGCTGCCAACAACAATAAATTGTCACTAAAACTTTATAAGTAACACAAATAATAGTTTTAAACAATTAATAGTTTTCGGACCAACTACAGAACGTCAATTAATGGAGTAGTATTATAATTAATCTAATGTTATGCTTATTAAATTTTATTTCAAACAAAATAAAATTAAAAATAATAATATATTTTTATGTTGTCTGTGGTCTAGTCTTATTATAGACATTTTGGTGTGTTTTTTGAATAAATTTTAAGGGGCTATAGCTCTACTTTATTTGACTATACATATAGTATATGAAATTATTGTCAACATTACTCTTAGTTCACAATTACCCCCATTGTCAAAGGTTACCCCCTTTGATAATATTAGTTCATGTTCAGTATAATATTATTTTAATAATTTAATTAAATTACGAACAAAATATTTCAATTCCACTGTAATTTTGTTGAGATATAACTTACATTCCGAATCATACATTTATTAAAAATGAAATATATAAAATAAAACTAATAAATTTACTTCCCATTTACTAATCATTTAGATAAATAATAATTCGGTTGTTGAATACATTAAATATTATTATAGAATTTAAAAATATTGTAGAACTTTAAATAAATATTAATCAGTTTTAGCATAAATTAGGTAAGTATTAGAAATTGAAAATATTATAGATCTTACGATTAGATAGATTAGATATTATTACGATATATTCTATCTAAGAAGTTTTGATGTAATAATTTTAGTAGTCGAATTAAACGTATAACAAATATGGTTTTAGTATTGTTTAATGTTGTAGTGATTATAATAATAATTTGAGCATTAAGTAGTATACGAAAATAGTGTTAGCAAAATGGGCAATTCCATAAATGCAATGAAAATGCAATAATTGAATAAATCTTGGTAGTGTTGTAGTAATACTTTTAAATATAAAATATACGGCCGCTACTCTGTTATATATTACATATCAACGTACAGGGCTTGTATATTGTTACTAGTACTATGAATATATATTGGCTTTTGACAAGATATATATTATTAGGAATTAGGAAATTAGGTTATTTCTACCTGTTTGTATCGTCGTTTTGGGAATCTTGAGTTGTTTTATAATTTAAATTTTTGGTATAACTATGCGACATGATTACAGAAAATAATTAATATGCTTACGATTTTCTCTACAGCCTTAGTGCTGAAATAAAATATAAAATGAACTTTTTACAATGTATACGTAACTTTTTATGCACACAGAGGCTAAACTTCTTATAGACCTATTATATTATACTTATAATTATATATATAGGTATTGTACTATCCTTTAGGTTCAAGCTATTTCCTAATTTGATTGAATAACAACTGACTGTAACAGTTTGTATGTTTATGACAATTGTGTGCCTATCAGGAAAATTTTGTTTTCATTAGTACTATAAATCTATGATGTAGGGGGAGATAGACCAATACCCAAACGATGATATGAATAATTTAGAGCTAGCACACATTCTTATGATATCTTCTGGACCACTTCTACACTTGGACCACTATTACGCTACGTAGATTTATACTCTATATCTAGTTATTTGCTAGATCTTCAGTGATGTAGATAAATAAGATATAATATTATAAAGAAATATCAATATTAGTTTATGTATAGTTAAACTGTAGTTTAATATAAAATCTCCATAATTATAGCTAGGTATATATATCTAGGACTAGCCCGCAGCTTGCTTTTCATAATATTACGATTTCTTATAAATTGAGATTATAATTAGTAACTAGAAGTATTAGATCATCTTGTCCAACAATATTGATATTTATTAAAATAAAATGCAATACAATATAATCCCTTATCCAAGATTAGTGAATTAGAATCCTATGTTATTCTGAAATAAAACAAACTTTGTTTTATATTGAGTAGAAAATATAATTAACAAATTACAATTGTTATTGTTAAGTTATTGTTATCTTTAATTTATGTTATTATATCTATTCTTTCAGTTATCAGTAAGTTATTGTGAAATATCCAAGAGAGTATGTCATGGAGTCGATTTGAGTGTTGTAAGATTTTGAACTAAACTGATCAAGAATAGCAATGACTAATATTTTTTATGGGAAACGTAATTATGAAGATTCCGTAGTCATCTTATCATTGAAGCTATATTTTATTTAAAAATATGGGTGCCTTTATTAAGCCAAAGACATTCTATAACCCCGTACTGTGATTTTTATAATGAATTGTCTAGATTTAACGTGAACGGGACAGTACGACGACATGTACCTACAAAATATGAATTTCACTAAATTATTTTACCAAAGCTATCCTAAAAGTTATTCACTTCTAGATTATAAGAGAAGAGTATATAACGGTAACTGTAAAATACTTTATTTTAATATAAATTAGCGTTTAGTTTACTTTAAAATAGTATAGATTAGTTTCAATAATGTTTTCAATTGAAAAGTTTAACCTTATCACACCTCGAACAAAAATATAATTAATTGCATACTTGGGAATATATAAATGAGCGATGCTGTTTTGAATTATGATTCGAGCTGTCGAAAGGTCTAATTTTTCAATGTAATATATATTTATGAGAATCTTTTAAAAAGGCTGGTATGCATTATGAAATCTTTATGATTTTTTTTTATTCAACTCTTCAGAGTTGCTTAGCATAGTGCGCCTTTTTCTTTTCTATTACTAATGAGATGAATATCTATTTAATTTGTTACTTTATTTACAAGGTTTTACGAGTATATATATATTATTTTTACGAGTATATACTTATAGGATATGAACCTGTAGTATTTGAAAGATTCATCTCAGAGTAATAATAAGTTGAATTTTTAATCTCTAGTGAGACAGAGACTTTAATATGAAATTCTAATGAAAGTTCGCTATTTGACATTGACTAAATTGCATTAATATACTGAATATCGAACTTTCAAATGGTACTGGTAACCACTGGATCATTATTTATTCTCTTACCTGATATAAAAATAACGTATTTTCAATATAAAACACTCCAGTGTATACCAAAATCGAAATACTTCAATTCTATCCGCATGTCTCTTGCATAATTTCCATTTGACGATATAATTATTATAGTATTTGCTAATTTTTATTCATTCAAGTTTTTTTCTTCTTTTTCCTCTATCGCACTCGCTTGGAACGCACGCTTGGACTGCGGGGCTGCACACTAACAAACAAACACACACACACATGGTGACGGTATGTATTACTAACCTAACTTACTCAAATCGTCGCTACCTGTATTTGAAATAGAATATGGCGATGAGCAAGACGTAATAGAACTAGTGCCTAACATAATCCTGAATCCTGGCTTCATGGAGTCCGACCCGGTACGGCCCCGGGAGACATATGCGGCTTCAATTATCAAATCAACGGAGTGCCCCGGCCCTGGGAAACCGAGACGAGTCTGATTCTCGTCTATACTTAACCTTAGAATATTCTATCGAACCGATTCAGGTCTTGTTTCCTGATAATGTAATTTATTTTAAGGCGAAATTGAGAATTGCCTCTTAAGAACTATGGTTTGGATAAACGTGTGCACGTTCGCATATTTAAAAGTAAAAGTATATGTCCATATTAAATTTTCAGACCGTTTACTAATAGATTCATAGAGGTTCATCAGTAAACAATTAGTAAAAACAATTTTAATTCATATTTGCCTAAAAAGCTTGAAGAAACAAATTAATGAAATATTTATAAAACAAAATTTTAACTAAAAAATGCAATATATTTTCTGAAAAATTGTATTAGGAGCAGTTAATATTATATCCATGAAAACTGTTATATTTGGTTCATGCCGTTAGCTAACTTATTGAACTTGAACCTTATTGCTTTAGAATAAAATTGGAAATTGATGAACTATATACTATTTTAATACTAACAAGCAAGGGTAAGAGGACACATATCACACGCTGTACAGGCTGATTACAAATCGAGTCGGTGCGATGGAATATTCTACAGGTTGTTATTGTGCTCGATTATGACTTTAATCATATAAGTGCTTACCAAATTGTTTTTCCAAGAGATATTTTAAATGTATTTAATAATAAATTTATAGTTTACAACATCGAATTAAGCTGATTATGTGAATCAAAGTCTGCAATTATATTAACTTTATAGAAAAAAATATTGTTTTAATGCAAACATTATTTAGACTATTAATATTTATTAATAGTCTAGATATTTAAAAATGATTAGATTATATTTATGTAACTTGAAAAAACAATTTGGTGTAACTCTAGCTTATACCTAATCACTGAGAGAGATCACTTTTAGTATTATAAGCGTTTCGTATTTAAATTGAGGTTGCCATCTTTATGCTTTTAGGTTGTACACCTAAAGTTACAATACATCGTTACAGTTCAATTAATTTTGATTTATATTACATGAACTGAAGGTTGCAATTTATAATGTTTATATACACAGTAATATATAAGTCTGACACGAGGATTCTTTATTATGGCAACCCCAAATAGCGGTTTACATTTTTATGACTCGTATTGCTTAACGTTCAAAATAAACTGTTAAAGTTAAAGTGTTGCTAGTTTTAATAATAGTAATTTTTAATTATATATTTTTTTGCAATATTAGATATATTTTTATAATGAGATCTCACTTAATTAAGGCAATTCATATTGGATAATTCGTTTTAATTTTTTATTTACTTGTGATTTTATGCTGTGATTTGTGTTTGTTCGTTATATTTATTGTAATAATGTAAAGTTCGGTAAATGTAAGCGTAAGGTATTATATATTATATTCTTATATATATTTTTGAGACTGGTGCGAAGGTATAGTATAACTTATTAGGAACTAGTATATATAGAATAGAATTGTTTATCGCTGAATTGAGCACGTTGGAGAGTAAGCTTCTAAGAAATAGAGCTTCCCGGTCATGCTAGGTAGAAGGCCATTCACAAAGTCACAATGATATGTCGACAATATCGTAGTGATATAAATAATATTATTCATATTATAGTTGTTAAGTATGACACTTGAAGGCAATGATGCAGTAGACAAATGTGGAGAGTCGTGGTTTTTATAATTATAAGAGACTATACGCTGAAATCATCTGTTTTATATACATCTTATAACAAATCACACGACGCCATCTAGTACCAAGCTAAGAAGAGCTTGTGTTATGTGTATTAGACAACTGATATAAATATATAGATACATTTTTATTAATACATAGAAAACACCTAGACAGATACAATCATAATCATGAACACAAAATGTTTGTAAAGTGCGAGGAATCAAACCCGGGACCACCGGAAGTAAGACCGTGTCTTAACTAGATCACCGAGACCGTCAATTACTACTTATACTTACCTAACATGATCTTATGATGAACTGTTAATATTATTTGTTACACTCATTGACTAGGAGTAATGTTTTGTTTATTTGATTTGTTAAAAAGCAGCGAATATATATTTTTATAACAATAGTTTTCATAACCACGACAATCCAAAGAGATAAAGTTTTATAGATAAGTATGAATTATAATGATGTTATCGAAGTGTAGGAAGGTTTATTTTTGTATACAGTTGTATGCATATCAGGAAACGCCTTAGGACATAATAAATGAGAATATATAACTAATTTCCCTTTCCTAAACACCTGTTTATTAATTTGCGCTGTGTACGTACTATCTCTGTTTTACTGCTGATATTTTAAAATAATTATAAATTAGGTACCCCTAGACTCAACTGTACCCCATTTATGTTTGGTGGCTAGTACTAACTTTCATTTTGTATGTAAATATTTTTAATATGTAACTAACCAATTAATGTTTCTTTAAAAAATGTTGAATAATGTGATAAATTACCTCTATTGATGTTCAAAATTACCCCCAAGTAAAAGTAGAGTACAAATAAGTATTGTAACCTATTGTATTGGATTTGGGGGTAATTTTGAACATACAGTTTGTATATTTTTTGACACTTATGTTCATTTTGCACCAATATTTTATAACTATGTAAGGAATTTGTTAAACTTATTTTTATAACGAAATCCAGTTTGTACTGTGTAATTAATGAAATTAATATTAATTATTGAAACTTTTTCCTTCCTAACACAATTGTGTCTGTTTTGTGTTTGAGGGTAATTATGAACTGTCGTTATTTTAAGAAATAATTATAATATGTAACTATTGACATAGTAATTTTAAAGTTTCAGTATCAATGTGAGGGATACTTTAACAGCGCAAATTTCCTTCTTCTTCTTCCTTGTATAGCTCATTGCCTCTTGGTGTAGTCACTTCTTGATGTAATTCTAAATGCAAATAATTGTAAGTAGTGTCGTTTATGCCATGTGATCAGTTATTATCATACAATCGTATGTTCAATTTTACAACACTAAAGTATTACGCAATTATACGCAATATTAATTATAATATTAAGTCATAGTGATGTCAAATCAAGATGATTCATCGTTTTCCCTCACTCATAAAAAATGTCTAACATCCAATAAACATATTTTAGCTGATGTACTGTTCTGTTTTGTCCTTTTTTTCAAGATATTGAACTGTAAGTAGTACAATGAGGTTATAAGACTGGAGAAACGTGAGGCGTTTTCTCCGTAGTAATGCTTTTACTAGACATAGGCAAATAAATACATACAAAATTATTTGTAATACGAGCTATTCTAACTACTCTTTCTTTGAAAAAAAAAAGACAAAACATTGACAGTTTAAATGTGATTGTGGTTACTTTCAGTTTTTATGAGCGAAAGGGTAAATTATTACTCAATGAAATCGTTTATCTTAAATGTCTAAAATATTTTTTTTACCAGTCACAGGTTGTGGCTTCACTAATGTATTCCTAAACTGTGTTGTGCTTTGTATTTAGAACTAGTATCTTGTATCTATTACGTCCGTCTTGTAATGTATAAATGTGCTAACGTCAATTATATGTATATGTTAATATAGATATATGCCTGCTTGCACTGATGGCTTTCTTCTATAATGCTATGATCGGATGGGATGCTTTGGTGTGCACATTTTTTTAATTAACTATTGGTGTATCACTGGATAGTTGTATGAAACCTACATATATAGAGTTTTGTACAGTCAATTCTTCGAAATACCTACTCAGTGCTTTGTTTTATAACTATTAACTTCCTATGATATAATTGTCATGTTTTCTCTCTATTTTCAACCGTGCTTCATTACTTTTTCTATTAAATTTATATTTCTATATATGTGGAAGTATAGTTTAAAGCGACTACTCTAATTTATTGTATCGACAGTTAAGATATAAACAATATTGTTTTAACACAACTATAAGAGAGTTCCGTGCAATTGCTTATTAAACAAACTTTGCTTATTAAATCACTTCGATCATAGTAGCCTGTTTGCATCTATATTTACTTCATTCTAATTCTTATAAGTGTATAAAATTTTTATTTTTATATGGAGATGGAAGTTTTGTACGGGAATGTATGATGTGTTAATGCTACTGTGTATGTGTACACAAATAGAAAGGAAGTATATAGATTAGATTTTTAAAAAGATATGACAGAATAAAATATTCCATACAACCCTAGGTTGATGAGAGGATTGTTGTCGGTAAGTCGGCCAGTCACAGGCAAGTAAAATAAAATTAGCATATCAGTATCAAGTGTTACAACAATGCATTTCAAACGCACTGAGAAGACAAGACGTTATAATTTAGGTGTTTAAATTAATTAAAACTAGAAGTTCGTAAAACCTTTGATATACAAAAAAGGCTGGATAGGCTCTATAAAATATATGTCTTTTAATATTGGCACAACAACAAAAGTTATAAACATTAGTCGCTATAGCCTTTAGACAAATATTTATGACATTCGTACATTACATGGCTGTGTTTGTGACTGGTTATAGACATCACAATAAGGTCTCGCGGTGATTTTTTTTCAAAATTAATAACAATAAGATGATTATATATTAAAAAAAGAAATCTTGTACTTTAAAATATACAAACAAACTTTTTTAGTTTTTATAATTAAGTCTATGTTCACCACTTCCTAAACATTTCTGTTTCCATTACCTGCAATTACAATTAAATCATCGAAATATAAGTTAATATATCAAAGTGCCCCATGAATCAAAGTTACCCCAATCATTTATTTTCAATTTATATTTATAATATCAAACGTAAGTAGTAAAGTTAAACATCAATTTCACCGCGATATCCTCATTATTAGAATAAGAAATTTTTAGCTAGGGTGTATTAGCTTAGTAATTCGAACGCTAGCGTAGGCAGGCACTTAGAAGTAGGTCGCGGGTTCGAGAGGCAAGACTGAGCTGCGAGGGTGTGAGGTTCTTCTAATATTTTTTTTAATTTCAATTACCTCAATGATGTGATTATACAACTATACCATGTAATACCCTGTTATGCATGACTGCAATAGAAATTTATAATATGTA